GCAGGAGAAAGAAGTGAACCCAAACTGAAACAAATCTCAAAAGAAGAAGTATGAAATAATTACCAACATTTTCTGGAAAAGGAAATAGAAAAATTAAGAGCATGATTGTGCCAGCACAAGTGTTTGGTGCAGTTCAGTTGTTCCAATTCACTAATAAGGCTTCATCCTTAGATCTTCTCTGGGCGGGAATTGGCAGCAGATAGAGAAGCATCACTAGTAAGTATATGTGTATTTTAAATGTATCTAAGGTACAATAACCAAGTGCTGAGAGCCAACATCTGTCCCAGCACTCTGGACACTTAAGCTCTGATTAATTCCCCCCAGAGAAGACTCGATGGAGGAATACAGGACTTCATTCCCTAATGGGACTGGGGATGCTAAGGAGCTAATTGTCCTATCGGCTGGGAGGAGGAGTTAAATGGTACCGGGGGTAAGTGCTAGCAGATTCGAGGGAAAAGGGATTTCAGGAGGGTGAGATCTCCCTGGAGAAATGGCTGACATCTGAAAAATGCTGTAGACAGAGCTGCTGCACAGGATTGATACAACGGGTAATGTTAACAAATCACATTGAGGTGTAAACAGGCTAGAGGCATACAAGATTGCAAGAATCGCGGGGCAGGAGTAGAGCTTCCCAATTACAGGTATGTAGATGAATCCTATTACTGCAGTACCTGAGCACCTCACAGTCTTCCAAGTATTAATACTCAATCCTGTGAAGTACTATTATCTTCTTTCTTCAGTCCTGGGTTTCTCAAACCTTATCATCATGAAGACTATCTACAGGGCCACTTCCTTTCCCATTTGCTATGATGCAGACCAGATCACTGCCCCATCTATTAATACATAACTTCCCTGTGGCAACTAAAGCAATTGCTCATATGAAAAAGTAATATTAGGACAGTAATGTATTTTCAGAATAGTCAGCACCATATGGCTCGCCAGATCTACATGACTGCCAACAAAAGCTATATAGAGCAGTGTGAGACTCATTGACCATTCCTCAGTCTTATTCCTTCTATTCCTATTTATTTTACCTAGTCCACAAAGTTTAAGAGATCTTTTCTCCCACCAATAACACACGGTCCATTTCACACACATAGTTTTCTCAGAACAACTCCCTCCCCTCTTCCCCCGATCACTATGAAGTATCGTTCCTGATAAAGGAAGTTCAAACCAGTTAATTTAGGGGTAGGGGAGGGAATTTGAAAAACTGACATCAGCAAGAACCTTGGGTTTCATAGACAAAAGTCATCTGAAATGTTTGAAAATGTAACAATTGACCAGGAACAGATTCCATTCAGGTCCTTTTTACAATAATTTCTTTGCCCATATCAGAAAATCACTTAGAAAAATATACTAGCTGAAGGGCATAGTGGTTACATTCTGACATGTACTGCACTTTCTCTAATAAAATATACATATGACTCATTAGAGTCAATGAAAGTAAGGGAAAGAGAGTGTGCTTGGACCTACAGGAAAAAATTGCAAAAATGCAGGGGACATTTAAAGTGCATCTAGAATCCATCTGCATGGTATGTGTTCTCAGGCCAACTACTCTACACAGAAATAACTTTAATAAAATACTGGATCAGAAAATCTCTTCAGCTCTGGGCATGCCATGGAGCTGGAAAGCTGCTGGATCTCCCTAGCTGATGATTCTCTTGGTGTGGGTCTAGTCCCCAACTGCGTAGAGCTGGTACAGCCAGCTCCTATGCTAGTGTCCCTGTGACCCTTGCATTTGGTGACATAGAGGGGGTGGGGGTAGGCATGGCCAGAGCACCAATATGGTCCCGTAATCCTTGGCTGGTGGATGGCTCTTTGGGGGCCATAATCAGCTGGCATCATTAGGGCGAGCCCCAGGACCCAGGGAGTTGCAACTGGCTCCTTTGCAGTCTCCTCTGTTCCCCACTGCAATCTTGACATTTTCCAGGTTTAAAAAGAAACAGACTAAGATGATAGAAAAATTTCTGAGTCAAATATAAGTGACCGATCCCATTTAAATATCTGGCTTCTTAAAACCAGTTTCTCTATAATATTAAAACCAGTTCTGTTTAAAGGCAGAGACAAATCACATTTTCTTATAAAAAGCCTAAATAAATACACTTATTGATTTGGAAATGGAAAAAAACAACACAAATTGGTTCTTGCCAAAGTTTCTTTATCACAAACCACATTATTCATATTGCAAAGCAGTAATTTGGAGATGCAGAGACATTATATTTGCAAGTACACAAATAGAAATATTGCTTTGTAAACACTTTTCTGATTTTAAATTGCTGTGTTTACATATGAGATTTTTTTAAACTGGAAATCATCCCATCCTACAAATTTGCACAATCTATTACATTTGATTCCTCACCATAATTTCCATGTCAGACTATTTGAGATGTTAGAAACACTGGTCTTGACAGGAAGTGAGAGGAGGATTATGAGGGAGAAAACTTGCATTAGAATCTAAATATCTTGATCAGAAGTGACTGAAATGTGCTAGGCAGGTGTAAAAGGTAAACATAAAAATAATGTCAAACTGCCCTTTATTATGTATAAAGTTATCAAAACAAAGTACTCTCTTTCTATCTTAAGTACCTGTATGGCCCCGTTCCCTGTAGTATCTGCCCATCTCACAATTTTATATGTATTTCTCCACACAACAACCCTGTGAGGCAGGAAAGTGCTCTTATTTCCATTTTACAGATGGGTAACTGAAGCCCAGAGAGACTGTGTCTCACACCCATGATCACACACGATGTTTGTGGTGAAACAGGAATTGAACCCAGTTTTTGGTCTATCTAGACTAGAGATAGTCCTGAGCTGCAAAGTCTGGTTCTAGAGTGTAGGGAAGGGAGCTGGTGGGCCAGATATGGGGCTGGGATTCAAGTCCATGGAACTGGCAGCAAGTTAGAGAGTTGGGATCTGGATTCAAACTTCTCCTAGATTCTCATGTTATTTGGAGGTGGGGTTTTAACCTCAGGGCCATCTCTAGCCTGAATTTACCAGAACTCAGAGTGTAGCCTCATTACAATAACATTTTCATACTTTTTATTTAAAGCATGATTTGTCGTATAAAAGTTATTGAGTGCAAATGCTAGAAACCGAATCATTACATAAATGCTCTGATGCTGGTGTCTTTAGCGTCTTACATTATCTGGTACGGAATTGGTCTCCTCAGTTTACTTTTCAAAAGAAGCCCAACAAGAGTGAAAATAACAGCTGCAAGCACCACGCCCGTAACAATAAATGGAGCATGGGAATGACCAGCAGTAGCAGTAAGTGAACCATGGGAATCCACGTCTTCCTGATGTTCAGAATAGTCCAGCTCTGTGAATTGAGAGAGAGAGAGTTTTGGTTTCAGTTTGTTCTCTGCTCTAGTTATTGCCAAAGATACCAGGACAAAGAGAACTTGAATTGTAAAATTACATTCTAGATCAGGTCAAGAAATAAATCAATTTCATTCTATTTTATAGAAGACATTCTAGACACAACAATCCATCTTTATATTAGTAAAGACTATTTCATGAACTGAACTGGGATGTTTTAGGTTCAATATTAAGAAAACATCATAACTAGCACAAGAGCTAGGGAATGGAATCTTTTTCAAGGAAGGTTGAGGTTTCACGTTACTGGAGATAGTCAAGGTGAGCCATGACAACCACAATGCTTGAAGAGTTTGGGGATAATTAAATCAATGAAGCTATAATAAGGAGATGGACTGCATCTCATCTTTCTTCCTGAAGAATTCATTCAATTAGAATTTCTGAGCTGGGCAGATTAAAATGATGGGTTTGAAATGTGTTAAGTAAGGAACAAATTTGTAGATGCTCTTAGTCAATAAACAAGTCCCTGATATTTATAAGGGAGTTTTTGCTAAACCAGTAAAAGCATGCTGCGCCGTTAGAAATCAGAAGTAAGATTTTGTAAAACGAAATGAAAAGTGATTTACGGAACCTTATTGTGACACTGAGCCAGAAAGAGTTAAGCAGCAAGCAGGCCGAGTGACCCAAAATCAACCTTTAAGGTCATATTAGAAAAGTATTGAAATGATAAACAGAACCATTCCTTGTAGATAGTTAACAAAGCCGTGTTAAATAGGCCAGACTTCTTAAAATGTAAACCTGTATTGTTAGAGAATTAGAAGCAGATACTAATTGTATTTGTCTGTGTTTACCTGTATCTTATTAGAAGTTTAACAATGTGATCTAATTAGCTTGTAAATGTTAAACTTCGGATCCTATCTGTAATGTTTCATTATATAATCAATTGATTCAGAGATCAAAAGGGGATATTAACATTTGAATGAAACTTGTGGTATAATAATATTGTCTTTATTTCTCTTTGATGTTTGTAGTAAACTACCTATGAACTGTTTGAATGGGCAATTGCCTTATGCTAATCAGTGCAACTAGTTTATCTGTGTATACATAAGAAATAAAAGTTTAGCTTCAAAGCAACAATATACACTGTCCATTCTTCATCTGGGATGGCCCTTGCTGTGATGTCTGCTGTCAAGATGCTGTCAACTTGCTAGAGAACATAAAAGAAGCTTTGGACCTGATCTTGTTTTATCTCAGATATGCTTAAACTTTGTCAGGGAAAGTTCAACTCACCAGACTGAGGTCTCCAGGTGTACCTTGGACTATCCCTGCAAATTCTCAGAAGAATTTGAACAAACTCTACACATGGACTGCCTATTGGACTAAAACCTATTGAACTGATTCTAGAAGTATTTTCACAAACCAGCAGCCTCACCATCTCTATTATGAAATTGATCTAAGAACTTTACTCATATCTGTATGTATAAACATCTTTAACCACAGTAACTTTCTTTTCTTTTTAAATTAATCTTAGTTTAGTTAATAAGAATTGGCTGTAAGCATTTATTTGGGTCAGATCTGAAATATTCCTTGACATGTTAGGTAACAGTGTCCGATCTCTTGGGATTGGTAGAATTTTGCAGTCGAACTTTATGGTGAATAAGGTTTAAAGTAACTCTCACTGTATAGACTTTGTTCTCAGGGTGGGAGCCAAATGCTGGATTGCTTAAAAGAAACTGTATTTTAGCTTCTTGGTACGTAGTACAGAAGCTGTTTTGTTACTGGCTTGGTGAATCTAATTATAGGAATAAACCACCAGTTTGGGGGATTGTCTGCCCTATTCTTTGCAGTTTGCCCAGACTGGTCATTGGAGGGGGCCACACTGAGAATGCTCAAAGTCACACTTAACCTTCTCTTGTGTTTAGTGTATTTAAATTTACCAGCATTCCTGTTCTTAGTGCCATCTTTCCGAAGCTGAATAGGCCCAACAACAACATCCACCTCTTCTTGGTAAGAGCTGGTATCTCTCTTGGACCTGGTTATGCAGCCCTGGTAGCATCGGGAAGAATAATCATATACCCTGCACACCACCATTTTAAACTGAAGGTAAACTGATGAATATTGGTTAATAAACTTGAAGGCATTAAATTTGAACCGTATTGTGGAGCTGTAGGATGAATAGTATGTCCTGTAGGTAGGGTCTCTAACACATCTAAAATAAATAAATAAAATACAATTAGTCTTCATGCATCCACACAAAAATAAATCACTGGCATCCAGCATGCCCTATGTGCACAGATAAAAATTAAAAAATTTAAAATTCATTGACAACAGAAAGGGAGAGAAAAATATACAGTTATAGTAAGAACAGAAAATGAAAGAGGTTAAAATAGTAGTAGTGACTTGTCTGAAAGCAAAATATAAATACTGATGTCTCTAAATCAACAAGGTATTTACGTACATGCCTAACTCTAAGAGTGTGAGTAGTTTTACTGAACTTGCATACTTAAAGTTAGACTTGTGCATAAGTCTTTGTAGGATCGGGGCCCAGGACGGACAAGTTGCAAAGAGGTCCCCTGGAGGTGAAATGAGCCCAAGGCTGCTTATTTAGATCTCCAGACTGCAATGTATATGACCCCTATAGAACAGCTGAAGCAAAGGGGGTTTATTTTTATTAAGGGGAAAATGAAACCAAGATTTAAGCTCTTAAGTGAGGCTGGCCAGAAAACAACCATTGTATTTCAGACACCATTTTGAAATTTGTTTTTGTTCCAATGCAGATGAAAAATGAGATTTCAATTTTTTTCATGAAAAAAACCATACATGAGAGAGTCTCAATGCAGAATAGCCAGGGCTGTTACACAGGAGATGGGAGACACAGGGTCAAGTCCCTGCTCTGCATGATTCAGAGCAGGGACTTGGCCCTGGGTCTCCCACAGCCCAGACAAACACCCTAATCACTTGGCCTAGGTCTCTCTTTGTCTCACCGGAGAAACCCTTCCCAGTGACAGTTCTATCAGAAGTGATACATTGCCATGAAACTCTTCAGCTCTGAACAGCTATATTTTGACAGGAACAATTTCAGTCCACATTTTTTCTACCAGCTCTACTCTGAAGGGTAGGCTCCATCTCTATACTAAATGGTTATACAGCACCTAGCACAGTGGGGCCCCGATGTCTGACTGGGTTCTCTAGGTGCTACTGGATATGAATAATAAGGATGATAAATTCCTTCTTCCATTCTGTGCCATCTTATCCAACTCACTCCTACTCTTCTGATTTCTGCTTTGGATGCAAGAAGCAAGAAAGTCGCCATTTCCAATGACTCTAATCTCTACTAAATCAGCTGCAGAGCAACAAGATTCAAGGAACAGAACAAGATTCTAGTATCTTTCACTTTTCTGTCAGCCTTGACTCACCTGAGTAAGTGCCAAAATTCCATGCCAGTGCATTCTGGTTCAATTTAACCACCACAAAAAAAAAAACAAAAACACCTCAGCTGACCTGTTAACACACAGCTCTTATCTCAGAAGAAGCTACAGAGTTGTCATATCATCAATGTATTTTATACACATTTTAATAAACTCATTTGCATAAGAAAGATCACAAGGTATTAAACTTGTATAAACTGAGATTATTATAAGACTGCATATGTTACTATGTTCATTTATACTCATGCCAACACTTCTGTCACCTATAGATGGTTAAGATATGTTTGAATGTAGATATGGAAAATTTATTTCCTTTTGGGTTTTAATATAAATAAATATGAGGTTTAAAAGATTTGGCTGTCTCTTCATTGTATGATGTTATCAGCTCATTTTTTAAAAGGGCTGTTTTGAATATCTAATTTTCATCTCCTGCAATAGATAGGGGGTTTTAAACTATCATGCAGGTGGCTTCTTTAAAACTTAACTTCTGTATGTTCTGCAGCTCTAATGCTACTCTGGCTGAATTATTTTGAAATTTCACTCTTATTCCCCATTATTTATATATAATTAGGATTGTACCAATAAATAGTCATATTCATTGACAATGGGACCTGCTCATGAAAGAGTTGTGCTTTCATATGCAGAAAGGTGTCGAGTCTAATAATGGAGAAGTCTACTGAAATTCTGGCAGGTAGAGTTTAGAACCATAGGGATTGCTATTCTGGATGAGATCAGTGATTTTTATTTTCATACCAGAACTAAATCTAATTTGTTTTCTATAATTCTTTAATCTGACTTTTCCACAAGAAATGGTGTAAGCCAAGACAGATGAACAATTCTGGGTCATCCAAGTGACATTAAAATTCTTAAGTGTCACTTGCAAAACACCGAACACTCATGAAAAGAAACTGAAAAGATGTTAAAAAGCAGGGAAAACACACAAAAGCAGGAAAAATCAAACATTAAACTTCAGTCATTTGAACCAAACATTGAATTACAGTAATTTGAAATAACATTTACAGTATGCTCCCAAAAAAACTAGGACTGCAAAAGAATGAATTTTTTTCTTTTAAAAAATGGAGCAGAATATTTTAAAAATATAGTTGAATTCTATAGACAAACTAATTGGGGCTGAACCTCAATATTGATGTGGGCAGGTGAAAATCCACTGACATCAGTGGAGGTTGAGATTACACCTGCTTACATAAGAACTGAATTTACCTCTTTAGTTACAACGTTACATTCTTGAATGGAATCACTGATGCAGAGTTCCATCATCTAAATGTCATTTCTATTGTTTCTATTGATTTCTCATTTTTTTCCAGGATTTGCCAAAAAAGTTTTTTTAAATACTTTGTTGGCAAGGAAAACTGAAATGACTTCACACTGTCCCCATTCAAATTATTGCATAAACAAAACAGATACAGTACTCCATGCACAGTTTCATTCTAAACTATTGCTGGGAAAGTCCTTACCCACTCTTCATAATGTCATAGGTTACTGTTGTAAAATCATTGGGATCAGGTGATGCAACACACGTGTCCAAAAACAACACCAGATTTGGGTCAGAGCTGTGAATTGAAGCTTGAAGGAATAAATTCTGGTTCAAGTCAACGTAGTATGGAGAATCATACACTGGCCATGAGAAGGATGGTGATTCATAAAATGAAATGTTCACGTCGTATCTGCCATACTGAGTTTCATTGACCTCAGTAACATCCTCAGCAACATATATTATTTCTATCCATCTATTTTGGAGCATTTTGCAGTTGATATGCAAATGAAGATCTTTTTGCCTTTTGATTATGTAACCAGAAGAGATTGCTTTGATCAAGTTGGAATAGATGATAGTGTTGTTGTTTCCCTGTTTGACACATTAAATACAAAATTATCTAATGTAGTCCACTTTTGCCTGACGTCACAATTACCATTATTCTTACTAAACTTTTGATGTGTCCATAGAATAACATGTATTTAAAGTGTTGTTTCAGTATTTTGAAAAGAAGTGTGACTTTGGTTATTTCTATTCACAACACATTTTAAAAAACTTTGTTGGCTGTATGATGCGGTGATTACATTGAGATGTGAAAAATATTTTCTTTGAACCCAAACACAGCTAAGTTAGTTTACATTCATGCAAAGCTTTGAACATGTAATGCACAAAGGTCTTGATTCAGCAAGGTACTTAGAGTTGTGTTTAATTTAAAGTACTATAGAAGTGAATGCTTTAAATTGGTACCTTGCTGAACTGTGGCTTATGTAAGTGCCAAGTATTATTAGTCTTCATGAACATCAGCTCATGCTAGAAAAAAGTCTATGAACATGGGTTGAGGTTGTTCACTTATCTTCCTTGTCCCCCGAGTATTCCCCATAAAGTCAATCTACAATAAGTGATGTGTTCCCTGCAGGCAGGGGAAGGACAGGTGGGAGCGTTCGATGAATCTGAACCTGCAGTGATTGGTTCACTTGTAACTCCTGAGAACCACAGCAGGTTTCTGTTCATGACCCTTTTCAAAATAAATTCTGCAGTTTGCACAGACCTACTTACTCAGGTTGCTAAATATTCAACTTCATACCTCTCGTCTTGTGCCACAGCCATTGTATGGTATGTTGAATATAACGTAGTTTGGTGTAACAATTGGTTTACAATAAGGGTCATTCAAGCTGACATCCCATGCAGCGTAGCCTTGTGAGTGGAGATAGGCTCTGTTAACAACTGCACGCATGTATTCTGGCAAGCACAGAAGAGCTAGTGGGTAGATAAAACATACATTATTAGTGCATACAGGCATACAATCATTAAATGTTGCAACCTATACAGATGCTGTTGTCTACTCTGTGTGTAGATTGGGAGAGGGGAAGGGGTTCATAAGCCAAACCACATGATTTTACTATGTTACGTCATAAATATTGAATGATGCAACAGTGGCCTGTGGGTTTCGGTTGTGGATTACTATTACTATGAAAATCTGAAAATTATAACTTTGCTTCCTGTGATCAGAGAATGTCTCATCAATGAATCTCAGTTACCATAGTAGAAAAAATTCTGGAGTGAAGTAAAAGTCCTATTGCTTGAGTAAAATTAAGAACAGTATTACCAGGGCCATTATTAAGCAAATAAAATGAAGCATTTCAGTAATTCTGGGAGAGAATGATCTAAAATGCAATGGGAGGTGAAGACAAAGGGAACAGTAAAGTAAAGAGAAATTGGTGTTTGTTGACAGCAATTTATGGACCAGATTTTGCTATCTTGAATTATACTCATGTCAGAGTTTGACTCAGACTCACAATTTATCAGACCACTCTGTTTTATTAGCAAAGCTGCTCTGCTAATACATTTAGAAGTGAGCCCCCCGAGTGGGGCTTGTGTCTTTTAATTTATACAGTTTTTTGGAGAACAAGTTACAGAGAAGTTACAGACAAAAGAAGAAAAAGATTTTAGTCACCACCCTTCGAGATCCCTGAGACCAGTCACGTATCTTCAATTACCTGCCACCATTAACAATCTCCTTTAACAGCTTCCAGTTAACTTAACTAATTGCCCTTCACACCTTCCATTCTGATGCCTGCTTCTTAGATGTGCTGGCTCTATCCTAATTGCTTCTCCATTCAAAAGCTAACTGTCCCTACGTGTGCTCCCTCAGATACTTTGTAACATGTTTTGGCATGCCCCCTCATATACAATGTATCCAGCATGTCCCCTTATACAATGTTATACTTATACAATGTTATACTTCCACACTGATCAGCCAATGGAACTAACCAGTTATGTTCTATTCAATACAATCAAGGGTTGCCGAATCAAGGGTTTGCATGTATGGCCTTACATGAGCCATATGGGGTTTGGAGATACATGTGCAGAGGCTGAATAACATCAAAGTGATAGTCATTCATTGGGGACTGGAACCTGTGGTCTTTATTTGGGCAAAATGCACATTGAAAAGAATAGGAGTCTTGCCTGAATGAGCGCTTAAGTATCAGGCTTTGTAGGCTGTGGAAGGTGTTCTAGTTCACTTGTGGGCACCTCTGTAGCTGAAGACATGGACAAATTGCAGGGAATTCAAGGAAGAGCATCAAAAATGAAAAAGGAAGTGGAGGGAATGATTCTAAATATAAATAATTCTAATACTAAACATGTACCAGCAAGGTGCTAAACAGGCATTGAGCTCAAATAAATAATAACTAATGAGTTGTGGAGAGGACATGAAATTCACTCATGCTTGCAATGAGAGTTTTGCCTACATCAGGATTAGGATCAAACCCATAAAGAACGAGCACTTAGGTAGTACAAAGGACCACAAGTAAGAGTAATGAGATGATATAAAGAAAAAGTAAATTGAGGCTGAATATCAGAGAAAATGTCTAAAAATAATTAATTTTATAATAACAAACATTGATTTTGTTTAAATATAAAACTGAAAGTAATAGGTCAATAATCCCAAAGTATGAAAGATGACAGTGAGTGCTTGCTATACTGAAGTGGTTCAACAACATTAATAAATAGTTATTTAGCAAATAAAGTCAGTAAATAGGCTTGTCTGCTGAAAAGCGAAGTTCTGTATTAAACATGAACTTACTAGTATTCTGATCTGCTGGAATGGTGTAATAGTCAGCACGGAACCCTTTCTTTGTGACACTTGAGTCACTGTGAAATCGAACTGTCATCAAGTTTGAGGACGATGTATATGTGAGATAGGAACCAGAACAAATTTTCCCCAGTAAAGGAGAGGTATGGAGTGGCCCATCATATATCTCAATATAATCATACTGGCATCTACCACCTTCTGTCCTGGGGAATAAACATGAACATTTTGTAAACGATTTTGTGAACTCCTGTTTAACTAGTCACCACTAAATCTCACATTAAACCCTTCCGGCTGCAAGATGTTTGTGACAGATTGTCTTCATTTTGCTTCTTATATGGTACCAACCAGGACTGAACAAATAACCATAAATAATACTATATTCATACAATTTTCATTTTAGGTTTACTGGTCATTTACAAGTGAGAAATGTCCTTGAAATGGAGAGGGTACCAATTTCAAAATTCCATGATTTTGAACCTATGAATTGACTGGGCAATTAGTGCCTTACTTACACTATATCTCTAAATGAAAGTGTTACACGGTAATTGCTCACTGCTTCTATTTCCCACACACAGTCTGCGTTGTTTGGATAATTTTCAGGATAGAATGGGCTTTGAAATGTCCCAGATGAATACTGAAGGACACCACCACAAGTATATTTTGCTGCAGAATAAAATGTAAGAAAAGAAAATACATATGAGTCATTTATATATATTTTTGCATATATTTGTATATGATTTATCAGTTGAAGCCAAAACCTGCTAAAGTTAAAGGAAAGCCTCCTATAACTTCAATGAGGTGCTTTATGATCAGTATCTAATCCCGATAGCTGTGGATCCCACTTACAGTCTCATTTAATGCTCAGCATCTCTCAAGATTAAGCCCTAAATGTATATAATTGAAGACAGAAAATATGGACCAAAGAAAATGTTCAGGGAAGAAAGATTATGCTTTTTTTCTCTGATAATGTTAAGTTCTTAATTCAGGTTGGAAGTAACTTTCTGAAGAAGCACCTGGTGCACTGGGAACAAAAATTACAGTATGAATGAAAATCGCGTCTACAGCCAACTTTGGAATGTAACAATTTTTACTTAATGCAGAGCTTTAATTGACAGAAGGCTTAAGAACATAAGAATGGCTATACTGGGTCAGACCAAAGGTCCATCTAGCCCAGTATCCTGTCTACCGACAGTGGCCAATGCCAGGTGCCCCCAGAGGGAATGAACGGAACAGGTAATCACCAAGTGATCCATTCCTTGTCGCCCATTCCCAGCTTCTGGAAAACAAAGGCTAGGGGCACCACCCCTGCCCTGCTTATACAAAAAGGGGGAAAACAACAAGGACAGTCATTATCTTCTTGAGCAACTCATAGAAAAAAATATTGGATTTTTATTTTTCCTCCTGTGAAGCACACAGAAACTGACTTTAAATGCATGTATTTGTTGACTGGTAACTCTGTTTTATTTGATCCAGCTATTGCCCCAATCCTGCAAACATTCATGTACATGCTTATTTCTACTGACATAAAGAGTTTCATTGAAGCCATTGGGACCAGTCACATTAGCCAAGTTAAGCACATACATATGTGTTTGCATTATTGGGGCCTAAGTGTTTCCTTTAAAGTAAAAATACCTAAATATAGTATCGTACTGTACTACTCTGTCCCTATTTAGAAATGCTAGCTACCAAAAGAAAGAAAAAGTTGATATTCAAAAAATGTATTGCCTTCAGCCTGAAGACAGCTTGCAAAAAGTACTAAGATTTATCACCATGCCGTACTTACTTTCCTGTCCAAGGAATCTGGTGCCTTAATACGTGGATAACTTGTGTATTATAATAAGCGAGTAGAGAAGAGTACAACATACAAATAAAGAAGTAAAATAATTATGAAATTACCTGTTGAAGGCAGCCATGTTGGAGTAGTAGTAGGAACTATTAATACAAAAGAAGAACAATATTTAAATGGGCAACATCTTTAATAGAGACATATATAGTTTTTGAATAATGTGCCATATCCAAGAAAATGCCAATAAAATCAGAAAACTAAATTGATAGTATAATTGAATGCAGACAGAAGAGAGATAAAGAATGGATGAAAATTAGAAAGGGATAAGTAGGTAAGTAGATGGAGAGATGGGAAAAGAGATGGCAGGCGGGCTGGCTGGCAAATCATGATACTAAAGAATACAAAGCAGGCACACCCATTGTGCAAATAACACATAACTATATTTCTATCCAATTGTCTAATTCACAAAGCTGATAAACAGCTAGTTGTCTGCATATAATTACTGCAATGAAGAAGAGGAAGGAAACAACAGTTGGATATTAGGGAAAACTTTTTCACTAGAAGGGTGGTGAAGCACTGGAACGCATTACCTAAGGAGGTGGTGGAATTTCCTTCCTTTGAAGTTTTTAAGGTCAGGCTTGACAAAGCCCTGACTCAGATGATTTAGTTGGGGATTGGTCCTGCTTTGAGCAGGGGGTTGGACTAGATGACCTCCTGAGGTCCCTTCCAACCCTGATATTCTATGATTCTATGATTCTAATAGTGTTAAGAAATACAATAAAATACAAGAAATACAGTTTAGGACCCAATCATGTAAACATGCATGCATGTGAATCCCTACCATTGGAGGCTTTGAAGAATGGATTAGATGGATATCTCTCAGGAATGGTCTAGGTATACTTAATCTTGCCTTAGTGCAGAGGGTATAGACTAGAGGGCCTCTTGAAGTCCCTTCCAACCCTACATTTCCAAAAATAATTTTCCTATCCTCAATAGTCCCATTTAAAGCAATACGAGTACTCAAATGAATATTCATGTGGATTAATTATTATTGGGGTTTTTGTACTGCTGTAGCACCTAGGACCCCCAGTCGTAGACCAGGACTCCTTTCTGCTAGGCCCCGTTTCACATTTTAAATGACATCTCTCAGTACAATGAGAAGATGTTGGCTAAAATGTTTTATTTTATTTTGTGGGTCCGTAGGCTCCTGAAAGAAATTCATCCTAGGAATGTATTTTATTTTTGTTAAGAAGACGGATAGTTATAATTAGAGCTGGGCAAAATACTTCTGGCAAATAGTATTTTATAAATTTTTTTTTTTTGCTAGAATAATGATCAGCCTTCAAAAATCTGATACAAGAGTAGTGCAGGTTTGTAGAAACTGTGAGGGTACTTTAAAATCTTGTAATCTATTTTTAATCAGTTGGGGGTGGTCAAACTCCTCAACATATATAAAGCCCATCAATTCAGTCATTTCTCTCTTTCAGTTGTCCCTGACACTTTCGCTTTTATTGCTCACAGCCAGTAGGGTAGAATGCCTAGCGCAAGAGGCTCCATCATCTCTCCATCATCTCTCATCATCACACCAACTGTGTGGTGCAACTAGTTCTGCCAGTGAATCCTGAACCTGGAGCTATAGGTGCTCGGCGTGTGGCCGCAGCCCCTGGCTTGAAGTGGTTTCCATCATAGACAGGGTTTACAGTTTTTTCAATGGCTCTCAGCACCCCCACTATACACATTGTTCCAGCACCACTCCCTGGTACCCCTGTTTGGGAGCAGTAATGCTGCTGTTTATTGGATTGGCAAACACTGGGAAAGAGAAAGGTATCTAAACAAAAAATGTTAAAAAAGAGACAATTAACATGTGTTGTTGCATCTGAAAGATAAAAGAGAAAGACAGAGGTTAGTTTTCAGAGTAGCAGCCGTGTTAGTCTGTCTTCGCAAAAAGAAAAGGAGGACTTGTGGCACCGTAGAGACTAACCAATTTATTTGAGCGTAAGCTTTCGTGAGCTACAGCTCACTTCATTAGTGATTTTGATTTTTTTTTTAACATGGCAATGTTTTACCAAAAATATATAGAAAACAGTGCTTAAATGTAAGTGAGGAAGTAATTCCACTGACTTGTAACCAACATGTGATTAAAATTAAGCATGTGCAGAGGTGCTTGGCTGGATTGGTGCCATCAATATATTCAATCTTGTGAGGAAATCCTTAATATTCAGAAATGTTCTAAGGATATTAACTGTCAGTTCCATTCTCCAATGAATTTCAAGTCAGGCCATCTAAACGATGCTGAGGTTATTCCCAAGGAGTAGAGTGGGCTGATCATTTTTAAACTATGCAAACCATAAAAATACATGTATATATATCTATCATATATCTATTATTTATCTGATGCCCACTGAAGTAAGGGACTCTTAAAAAGGGATTTGAGCAAAGTTCATTGTGGGCAGGCTCTCCCTGTACTGCAACTAAGTTCTGTTTAAAGAAACATTGCCATGACAGAATATTGTATGGTGCTTTTCTGTTGTGTACATAAAGGGGATTACACCGCAAAGCTCATTTTCACTTGCAATTTATGCTATATTCTAATGAATTAAGGACAAGCCACCATGGTCAAATTCACATAAATAAGGTAGCATTTTGACCAGTAAGTGATTCATAGAAAGATTTCACTGCAATTGATGCACCTTTTTATTGCAGACATTTGAAGGTACAGGTCAAGTTAAGTCTGTCATGAAAGTAATAATAAAGACATTACCACCAAGTGCTTATGTAGCACTTTTCATCATTAGACCTCAAAGCACTTTACAAAAAATGTAAGTATTCTTATCCCCATTTTACAGATGGAAGAGAGAGGTAAAGTACTTTTTTTAAAAAAAAATTCCGGTGAGCAAGTGAAAAGGCTGGATTGAGCTCAGTTAATAAGTTCACTGGCAGGAGCTTATGTCTCCTACAGTACAGCTCTGCTCTGAAAAGTGATTCCATCCAGTTCCGTAGCTAGGAAGAAAGAGACTCTACAGCTTAGTGGTTGGGGCACTCACCTGGTGTGGGAAACCCAGGTTCAAGTCTCTGCTCCAAGGCAGAGCAGGGACTTGAGCCTGGATCTCATAGGAACGGCCATATGGGGTCAGACCAATGGTCCATTTAGCCCAGTATCCTGTCTTCTAAGAGTGGCCATTGTCAGACGCTTCAGAGGAAATGAACAAAACAGGGCAATTTCAAATGATCCATCCCTGTCCTCCAGTCCCAGCTTCTGGCAGTTAAAGGTTTAGGGGCACCTGGAGCATGGGGTTGTTCCTTGACCAATGGCTAATAGCCATTAATGAACCTATCCTTCATTAATTTATCCAATTTTTTTAACCCAGTTATAGTTCTTGCCTTCACAACAGTCTCTGGCAATCAGTCCCATAGGTTGACCATGCATTGTATGAAGAAGTACTTCCTTCTGTTAGTTTTAAACCTGCTGCCTATTAATTTCATTGGGTGACCCCTGGTTCTTGTATTATGTGAAGGGGTAACTAACACTTCCCTATTCACTTCCTCCATATCGTTCATGACTGCATAGACACCGATCCTATCCTCCCTTGCTCGCCCCCTTTCTAAGCTGAACTGTCCCAGTCTTTTTAATCTCTCCTCATATGGAAGCTGACTGACATAGGTGCTGGAACGAGGGGGGCTGCCGCACTCCCTGGCTTGAAATGATTTCCGTGATATACGGGGTTTACAGTTTGGTTCAATGGATCTCAGACCCCCACTATAAAAATTGTGCACTCCTGCTGATCGATACCCCTGATCATTATTGTTGCCCTTCTCCGTAAGGTAGCATAGTTATCACTAAGGGCCACATTTCCGAAACGTAGGTTCTCCTTGTCCGTGTGTAAGCTGTCACTTCTGCCTGCACAAACAGTCCAGTGTGCCAAGAATGTAGCAAATGTGATAGGCAAGCATTTACCTGCGTGCATGCAAAAATGCTAGCAACTAGCATGTATGCAATGAGAGGTCAGGCTAGTGTAGACGGAAGGCCAACAATGTCCAAGGCACTTTCAACACAGTGTTTTGGCTGATAGCCAAAAGGATATATTACTAATACAGTCTAACTTTCCCTCTCCAGACTGGCAGAGCACAGTGGCTGCCTTTACGTTTTTATTAAAATCTATGTGCAACAGCCATCTGTATCTACTTTACTGGGAAGAATTTGTGCTGGTGGCTATCACACATTTATAACCTATTCAAACAGAATGACTGTTCTGTTTTCAAACAATGGCAATTACTATAATACAGGATGTCATGCTTCTTGTTACTCTTTTCAATGCGGTAAGAACAATTACTGGTAAATTTGTCTCAGATATTCTGGTTAACATAGAGAATATATATTTTATGAAGTTGGTGGGATGAACCAATTATTTAGGGTTGCCATTCTTTCTGTTATCCATTTTTATTTCTTCTTTGCCAGTAGACAGTATAAGGAATTTCAATTAAATGGGCAAGTTTTATAATAATGCATAAATGGTTAACGAATAATGAGGGTATTTGTATGTTCCAAATGTAAACAGAGTATGAAATTACCCATAAAAATATGGGGCCAGACCCTCAGATAATGGGGGGAGGGATAGCTCAGTGGTTGGAGCATTGACCTGCTAAACCCAGGGTTGTGAGTTCATTCCTTGAGAGGGCCATTTAGGGATCTGAGGCAAAAATTGGGGATTGGTCCTGCTTTGAGCAGGGGGTTGGACTAGATGACCTCCTGAGGTCCCTTCCAACCCTGATATTCTATGATTCTATGTTAATATGAATGTCCACTCTCCTCAATCAATGGGGAAAATAACACTGAGTGACCAGAGGGGAAGGAGGTAGGGGTAGAGGGCTGGCTTGAGACAGCCGGGAAAGGGGTCTACCCCCTGAGGTCTGCCACCATCCCTATTGGAGGTAGGTGAGGGAACGGGCTAGCTGGTTGGCTCTCATGTTCCCTCCCCCCCATTACCTATTAAGCTTACTCAGTCTTTTCCAAAAGCCTCTTGCTCCAGCCTAGCCTCCCCTTAGTATATGTTGTGTTATTTATGATGCTGTGGGTCTGATTGATCACCCATTATGGGATCAGGAAAGAATTTTTGTTTGTTGGACCAATCTGGCAAAAGGTCCAGCGGGATTTTTTTGCCTCCCTTGCAGCATCATGGAGGCACAGTCACCTTATTGCGTTAAGACTTAAAAATGCTTACTATTAGGAAAAGCAATATTGTTTTAGCACAGCAGGTGGAACTATTTAGCACAGAGCATCAGGTCTATGATGTATTAAGTAATTCTTACCTGACAGATCTTTATTTGTTAAACATGTATGAAACGGTGCATCTAAAAAGGACTAGACTGCCTGTTAAATATTGTTTTTGTTAATTAGTTGTTACCTTTTCTAAGTTATTGAACTCACTTAGAACCACGTTCAAGTCAACTACGTTTAGGGATGAGGAAACTTCATGTGTCTAATATTGTCTCGTATCAAATCCATGACTCGTGCATGCAAAAAGCCCTAAGTGCAGTGGAACCACAGCACAAGTGAGATACCACAGAAAGACCATGCAGGGGAACTCTAAGATCTCTCCTTTCTACAGAGCAATGCTGTGGAAGGGTGCAGAGGCCTAAGCATATCCCTTGCTCACAATGAGCTGACCTGATGTTCAACATGACCCTTTCCTGATCAGTGGGTTGCCAGGCGTCCGGTTTTCCATCAGAACACCCAGTCAAAAAGGACCCTGGCGGCTCAATAAAAGTCTGGTTGGAGTGGGCTGGCAGGCTCCCTACCCAGCTCCTTGAGGCTCCTGAGAAGTGGCCAGCATGTCCGTCCAGCTCCTAGGCATAGGAGAAACCATGGGGGCTCCGTGTGCTGCCTCCACCCCAAATGCTGGTTCTGCAGCTCCCATTGGCCGGGAACGTGGCCAATGGGAGCTGTGGGGGCAGCAGCTGCAGGGGGTGGCAGCATGCAGAACCCCTGTGGCCTTCCCTATGCCTAGGAACTGTAGGAAAATGCCGACTGCTTCTCGGGAGCTGCCTGAGGTAAGTGTTACCCCAAACCCACTCCCATGCCCCAACCCCCTGCCCCAGCCTGGACCCCCTCTCTACACTCCAAACCCCTCACCCCCAGCCCCACCTCAGAGTCTGCACCACCAGTGGGAGCCCTCACCCCCCTGCACCCCAACCCCCTGTGCCAGCCCGAAGTCCCCTTCCACACCCTGAATCCCTCATTTCTGGCCCCACCCCAGAGCCCACAATCCCAGCCCAGAGCCTGTACTCCCTCCCACACACCAACCCCCGGGTCAGCCAGGAGCCCCCTCACACACTCCAAACCCCTCAGCCATACCCCCCAGCCTGGAGCCCCCTTTTGCACCCAAACCCCTCATCCCCGGCCCCACCCCAGAGCCTGCACCCCCAGCCAGAGCCCTCACCCCCTGCACCCCAACCGTCTCCCACATTCTGAATCTCTCAGCACAACCCCCCAGCCCAGAGCCCCCTCCCACACCCTGAACCCCTCATTTCTGGCTCCATCCCAGAGCCTGCAACCCCAGCCAGAGCCCTCACCCCTTCCCACACCCCAACCCTCTGTTCCAGCCCGGTGAAAATGAGCGAGTGAGGGTGGGATAGAGCAAGCAATGGAGGGAGGGGGGATGGAGTGAGCCAGGGCGGGGCCTCTGAGAAGGTGCGGAGCCTCATGGAAGGGGTGGGACAGGGGGCAGATCAAGGGTGTTCAATTTTGTGTGATTAGAAAGATGGCAACCCTACTGATCACACTGACTGCAAAGCTGTGGTCAACTTCATATTACTTCACATGACTCTTCAAGGATATTTCTGTCAGATTGAGGTTCACTTTCATGAGCCTAACTGTGCAGTCTTCATTAGCTGGCAGGATGATAGAAAATTTTTAAAAAATTGGAATTTTAGGAAACTGGCAAAAATGGAAAGGAGCTCGGACCCTGATGCATAAGAATCCCCAAGGAGGAATGGAAAATAAAAATAATATTTTTATTCAGTGAATCTGCAAAATATAAAATTAACTCAGATTTATAACAATAATACTTTCCTTTTATATAGTACTGTTCATGTATGGATCTCAAACTAGTTTACATCAAAGGAAAGTATCTTTATGCTCATTTTTACAGATGGGGAAACCAAGGCGTAGTGTGACTTGGGACAGCAAGAAAGTCAAAAAGCTGCAAACAAAAATCAGATATTTTAACTCCCTGTGCCATGCCACTTTGGGGCTCATTGAAAGTTTCAAATATTTTGGCTTTTGGTCTGACCCTACATGATTTTTTCCCAACTTTCTGAAATTGCTAATGAATCAAAATATCTGTCATTTGCCTGGATGTACTTGTAAAATTTCAAGTGCAAATGACATCAGAAGCTGCATGACTTTCCTGGAAGATGTTATGTTTCAAAACAAGCAGAGCAAAACTTTGAAAACACCATGTTTGTAAAATCTTAAGGGTCCTCATAAAATATAGTAAAATGTGCTTGACCCTCACTGATGTCAATGAAGAAATTCCAAATGAATTTACCTTTCATAATGACAAAAAGATTAGTACTTAAACTTAAATACGTCTTTTCATCTCTGGGTCTCTAAGTGCTTCATGAAGTTAAGTCTCATTATCCCTACTTTACTTGTTAGATGACTGAGGCATTGAAAAGCTAAGTGGTATGGAAGAATCAGGAATAAACTCTACATCTCCTACCCCCCATTTCCATGCCCTATCCCAACGGAACAATTCTACACTCAAAGGAAGTGAAGTTAACAAAACTGAAAATTAACCCGTGAAGATAGCAAGTGCCCTTTGGAACTTCAGAGAGATAACTTAACTGTTTGACCATCTTTCATTTGTTTGATTTTGTTTTTGTTTTTTGTTTGTTTGTTTCATGTTTTTAAATCTCTTTATTCTATGCTATCACAATCGCATTCACCAGGGAACTAACTGGCTGGCTGAAGCATGGAACTAATGTTTAAGGAAGTAGGAAAGTGGCCCTTTTAGTATTGGATCCAGTTCCAAAAACTGTGTTTCATATTTTGAAACCTCTGCAATGTGACACTCACAAACATCTTAGACATGGTCAAAAGCATGTTCTGTGCCAGTTATTTCCCTGTAAGACACCTGTAAACTCTTGGTATTTACCTGAACAGATGACACCGGCATCTTCATGATGACCACAGTTGTGAGACAGCAATCCTGAATGAGGACAGTCCCATAGACGGTATTCCCATCCTCTGCAACCCACGTTATCCAGGACAATATTTCCTGAGCCTTGACCATAAAAGGCACTTGTCTTTGCTGCAACACCATGTCCACATCCAAGCTGCCTGCACACAACATCTGCATCACTGAGATCCCAGAAATCATCACAGACTGTTCCCCATGATCCTTGGTAATAAATTTCAACACGACCTTCACATCTGCTAGATGAATTCACCAGTCTCAATGCCAACCCTAAAACAGATTCAATGAAATTATTATTAGCACATTAGTCAGTTCTATTTGCTGGTATCTCTCACAGCCACTCCCCTCTGGCCAGCAGGGTAGAATGTATAGTGCAATAGGCTCCACCATTTCTCTTTACACCAACTGTGCAGTAAAACTGAGTTTTTGCCAGTGACTCCTGAACCCGGTGCTATAGGTGCTGGAACTGGGCACTATAGGCTGTTTATTGGATTGGCAAACATTCGGAAAAAAAGAAATCTAAACAAAAAATGCTAAAAAGAGACAATTACTAGGCATCATCGAGCCTGAAGGATAACAGAGAAGGACAGGGTTAGTGATTTTTTTGTTTTGTTTTTGGCATTGTAACATTTTACCAAAAATACATGGAAACCAGTGTAATTGTAGTTAACTTGGTGCCAAAGAGTAACGGACGAGTAGGGTAGCACAGAAACAGTGGGTTCCTGAAAGCAGCACAGTCCCCTCAAATCACTAGCTTCTGGGTAAAGGAGAGGGGTGGAACCTTTGACCTCACTCCTAACCATGCACATTTTGGCCAATATGATTCATAGAAAGTTTTCACTGCAATTGATGCATCTTTTAATCACAAGCATTTGAAGATGCAGATCAAGTTACTTCTGTCATGAAAATTATAATAATGATAACACTGCCAAGCTGTTAAATAGCCTTTTTCATCAATAGATCTCAAAGCAAGGTACCAAAAAGGTAAGTATTACTCTCCTCAGTGTATAGATCAGGAAAATGAGAAACAGAGAGGGAATGTAGTAATCTAAAAAAAAAAAAATTAGTGAGCAAGAGAAAAGGCTGGATGGAGTTCAGTTAGTAAGCTCACTGGACCCAGATTATTTCTCTTATAGTACAGCAGTATTGCAGTACTACTGTATCCCTATTTAGAAGTGCTAGCTGCCAAAAGAAAGAAAAAGTTGATATTCAAAAAATGTATAGCCGCTAGCCTGAAGACAGCCTGCAAAACATACAGAGGCTTATCACCGTGCCGTACTTATTTTCCTATCCAAGGAATTTGGCGCCATTTATATGGGAATTATTTGTGTATTATAATGAGATAATTGAGAAGAATACAACATAAAATAAAGAAGTAAAATAATTATGAATTACCTGAAGGCAGCCATGTTGGAGTAGTAGAAGGAGCTATTAATACAAAAGGAGAACAATACATAAATCGGCAACATCTTTAATAGTGAGAGAGAGACTTTTAGAGTAATGTGCCAAATTCTAGATAACGCCAAGAAAATCATAACCAAATTAACAGCATAACTGAATGGGGGGGGGGGAGATAGATGGAGAGAGAGAGAGAAAGGATGAAAATTAGAATGTGGTAGGTAGATGGGTGTATGGAAAGAGATGGCTGGCTGGATAATCATGACACTAGAGAATACAAAAGCAGGCACCCATCTTGCAAAAAACACAACTATATTTCTCACCAATTGTATAATTCACAAAGCTGATAAAAAGTTAGCTGTCTGCATTTCCTCTGATTACTTTACTGTAATGAAGACACTTACTTAAATGAAGAGGAAGGCGAAAACAGAGTTAAGAAATATCAATGTTAACCCTTTGGGATCCAGTCCTGTAAACATGCATGCATATGAATCCCCACCACTGGAAGTTTTTATGAACAAATTACACGAACATCTATCAGGGATGTTCTTGATATAATTCTGGCCATAGCATTGAGGTGAAAAATGAGATGGAATCTCGAGGTTCCTTTCAGCTCTACATTTCCAAGAATAATTCTCCTCTGCGAGCTAGTCCTATAAAAGTCAATATCACTATTCAAATTAATATTCATGTGGATTAATTATTATTGTTCTTATTTGTATTGCTGTAGCACCTAGGAGCCCCAGTTATAGACCAGACTCCTTTGTGCTAGGGGCTGTTTTACATTTTCAATGGCATCTCACAGTATCATGAGAAGACATTTACTTACATGTTTTATTTTCATTCATGTGTCATGTGGCTCCTGAAAGAAATTCATCCTAGGAATGTATTTTTTTTTTGGTTAGGAAGAGGGATATTTATAATTAGAGCTGGGCAAAAGATTTTCGGCAAATAGATTATTATCCTTATGAATGACTCTCTGAATTGCCACTATGAATGACAATGAATAGTCACTGGGAGCGGGGCAAAGTGTAAGAATGACTCTATAGGCTGGAGTTTCAGACATTCACAACGGGCACTGGCGACCCAAATTCAAAGTCCCTGTTCCAATGACTATTTAATTATTTATACAAAGTAGAAGAGCTGGAACAGGAGAGATTGAGAAAACTCTGTATCAGGGCATCCTGTAGCTTGGTGGCCCGGGCATGCTCCTGAAACATGGAAGACTCAGGTTCAAATCCCTTTTCCATATCAGGCAGAAGGGAAATTGAACTTGGGCCGAGCTCTATTTATAATAGTCAAAAACCTACACCAAGGAAAATGTTTTCCAGGGGTAAAATGCTTCTTTGTCTGTGTGTTTAAAGTACTCAGCACAGTGAGGCCCAGGGCTCTGAGCGCTGCAGTAATATAAACAATCACAATCATTTCACCCTACAGTCTGAAGGATCGGAGATGCTTACAGCTGCAAGAACAGAGTAGTCTCATATGTTTCTTATGGAGCTTTCTGTTGGTGAGACCTCATCTGGAGTACACATTGGTGAGGCCTCATCTGGAGTACTGTGTCCAGTTTTGGGCCCCACACTTCAAGAAGGATGTGGATAAATTGGAGAGAGTCCAGCGAAGGGCAACAAAAATGATTAGGGGTCTGGAACACATGAGTTATGAGGAGAGGCTGAGGGAGCTGGGATTGTTTAGCCTGCAGAAGAGAAGAATGAGGGGGGATTTGATAGCTGCTTTCAACTACCTGAAAGGGGGTTCCAAAGAGGATGGCTCTAGACTGTTCTCAATGGTAGCAGATGACAGAATGAGGAGTAATGGTCTCAAGCTGCAGTGGGGGAGGTTTAGATTGGATATTAGGAAAAACTTTTTCACTAAGAGGGTGGTGAAACACTGGAATGCGTTACCTAGGGAGGTGGTAGAATCTCCTTCCTTAGAGGTTTTTAAGGTCAGGCTTGACAAAGCCCTGGCTGGGATGATTTAACTGGGAATTGGTCCTGCTTCGAGCAGGGGGTTGGACTAGATGACCTTCTGGGGTCCCTTCCAACCCTTATATTCTATGATTCTATGATTCTATGCCATTTTACTTTGCTAAAGTAACAGTCACCCTTCAGAAACCTGAACCACAACTAGTGCAGGTTTGCAGAAATTATCAGTGTAGTTCAAAATTTTGTAATCTATTTTTAACCATTGGGGGCCCTCGATCTCTTCAGCATAGATAATGCCCATCGATTCAGTCATTTCTTTCTTCCTATTGTCCATGGCTCTTTTGCTGATATCTATGAGAGCCACTCTCCTGTGGCCCTCAGGGAGAATGTAGAGCGCAACAGGCTCTGCCTACTCTTTGCACCAGCTTATATCTGTCAATAACTCCTGCATCTGGTATCCCTGTTTGGGAGCAGTAATGCTGTTGTTTATTGGATTGGGGCGCATTGGGAAAGAGAAATAAAGTGAAACAAAAATGTTAAAAAGTGATAATTACCAGGTGTCGTCAAGTCTGAAAGATAAAAGAGAAGGACAGAGGTTAGTGATTTGGATTTTTGTTTTGTTTTGTTGGCATGGCAATGTTTTACCAAAAATAAATAGAAAACGTTATAGCTGTAATTAACTTAGTGCCAAAGAGCAGCAAATTGGGCAGCAAAGACACTGGGGTCCCTGAAAGCTGTTCATCACCAGGAAGTCACTAAAATCTAGGTATTTGAGAGGGAGGAATGCAGTCTTAGGCCTCAATCCTTTCAACACATACGTGTAAACGCAAGTTAGGAAACAATTCCATTGACTTGAAACCAATGGATTAAATGTGATTAAAGTTAAACATGTGCTTAGGTGCTTGACTGCCTTGGTGCCTATGGAATGGTTCATCTTGTGAGAGATCCTTAATATTCAGAAATGTCTAAGGATATTAACTATCAGTTCAATAACTTCCATGAATTTCACGTCAGGGAATCTGAATAATACTCAGGTTATTCTCAAATATTAAGTAGCGCTGAGCATTTTTATAGAAGATACAAACAAAACAAAAAATACATGCGGATTTATTCAGATTCAGAGCAAAGTTTAGTGTGAGCAGGCACTGTGATTATTTCCCTACTCTGCAGCTATCCCAGTCCTGAATTCTGTTGAACTAAGAGTACCGTTAAAGAAAATTGCACAGTTCTTTAATGATGTTGACACCACCAAGCACATTTTGACTTGCAACTGATGCTATATTCTAATGAGTTAAGGACAAGCCACTAAGATCAAATTCACATAAATAAGGTAGTAATTTTAACCAATAAGTGATTCATAGAAAGATTTCATTGCAATAGAAGTACCTTTTCATAGCAGGCATTTGAAGGTACAGGTCAAGTTAATGCTGTCATGAAAATTATAATAATGATAATAACACCACCTAGCTCTTCTGTAGCACGTTTAATAAATAGATCTCAAAAGCACATTACAAAAAAGATAAGTATTATTATCCCCATTGTAAGGATGGGGCAAATGTGGGACAGAGAGGGAAAGTAGTAATTTTTTAAAATTTTTGGTGAGCAAGAGAAAAGTTGGATGCAGTTTAATTAGTAAACTCACTGGCCCCAGCTTATTTCTCTTGTAGTACAGCTCTGCTCTGAAAAGTTGAGAAGTAAACCAGTGCTGGTTTTTATTTTTTTCCTGATTGCCAGTCATGCATGTCCATCCTGGGTTCTGAGTTCTAAACCCTTTTCTTTCTCTCTCTCCCCAGTTTTATCACTATCAGTAATAAAGATTCTACAGAGCAAATTACACCCTCCGTACCAGCTGTGCAATCTCATTGGCTTCACTGGTTTTGCAAAAATATATCTGTAAGGAATTTAGTAAACAAACCTCTTGATGATGAAGGGTCAACAGGACTAAAATGCAGTAAACATTTATTTTTGTCACTAACATCAGCATATCTGACTGAACAAACAGGCAATAGATGGTTTGAGTTAGGAGTACCGTTACACAGTCATTTTTCAAAACACAACTACACGAAGGTGATTTCATGTAGGTGATTTCCTTATACTATTTAACCTTTGCATAAAAATGAAAATCTTAAATCAGCTCCAGCAGAAGTCTCTACTGCAAAGAATACAGTATTATATTAATGTATTTGTGACCAAATACACCCCGGTATTCACACCCTACACACCACTGTAATAATCTTTGTACAATATATGCCTTGTGAGATATCATTTGAAAACGAATAACTTCCTGATCAATAATATCATGGTGAAATGTGTGTACCAAATTATATGTAAAGTTATCTGAAATGTGTTGACCAGATAAGTCTGGGAAGGGGGTAAACTAGTTCCCCTAAGACAAAGGCCAAGCTGATGCCCCTAGTTATGTGTCATCAAAGTTAACTGGAAATCACCTGTCAAGTGACCATTCTGCAGCAGCTAAGGTGGGCAGAAACTGATGGATTTGGATTTTAACAAACAACAACATGGAACTACTTTCACCATGAGACTCCATGCCTCCATCCTCACAGCCGGAAGGAACTTTATGTAAGTTGAACCCTCAGGAAAATGCATTCCCAGGGTGACTGGATTAGAAAAGTGAGGGGCAAAAACACCATCTCTATCTCTCTCACTTGCTCTTTCACCTAAGAGGACAAAGGAACCATCCCTTTGGACTTTGAGGGCAGATCCTGACTTGAGAAATTGGTCAGCTATTTTGCTGAGAACAAGTGGTAAGACATTTACCTTGAACCAAATCTAGTTTGTTAAGTTTTAGTTACAAGAAAGCGTTTTATCTTTATTTCTCTTATAGCCATTTCTGTCTTTAAAGCTTTATACTTGTACTCACTTAAAGCCTTTCTCTTTGTAGTTAAATGAACTTGTTTTATTCTTTAATCAAAACTAATCCAGTGACGTATTTAAACTGAATTGTTTGACAACTCCAATTAAGGTAGCAAACTCTTGTACATTGACTCCTTTCTGGGGCAACGGACCTCTAATATCTGAACTGTCCAGGAGAGGACTGGGCACAGGGGTGAAAGTAACTTAAATTTCTTACCGGTACGGTCGTATCGCAACCCCCCCTTCCCCCTTCCCACCTCCACTCCTACACACTTAACTTCATGGATCCCTTTTCATGGCTTGGATACAGTCGCTGTATACTTGTTTTATTCTAGAGTACTGGTGTGAAAAAACATCCTCCCACCCCCGAGTGATGCAAGTTTCAGCACTGTAAAGTGCCAGTGTAGACAGTGCTACAGTGCTGGGAGCTATTCCCCTCGCGGAGGTGGTTTTATTACAGTGCTGGGAGCTATTCCCCTCGCGGAGGTGGTTTTATTACAGTGCTGGGAGCTATTCCCCTCGCGGAGGTGGTTTTATTACAGTGCTGGGAGATATTCCCCTCGCGGAGGTGGTTTTATTACAGTGCTGGGAGCTATTCCCCTCGCGGAGATGGTTTTATTACAGTGCTGGGAGCTATTCCCCTCGTGGAGGTGGTTTTATTACAGTGCTGGGAGCTATTCCCCTGGCGGAGGTGGTTTTATTACAGTGCTGGGAGCTATTCCCCTCGCGGAGGTGGTTTTATTACAGTGCTGGGAGCTATTCCCCTCGCGGAGGTGGTTTTATTACAGTGCTGGGAGCTATTCCCCTCGTGGAGGTGGTTTTATTACAGTGCTGGGAGCTATTCCCCTCGCGGAGATGGTTTTATTACAGTGCTGGGAGCTATTCCCCTCGTGGAGGTGGTTTTATTACAGTGCTGGGAGCTATTCCCCTCGCGGAGGTGGTTTTATTACAGTGCTGGGAGCTATTCCCCTCACGGAGGTGGTTTTATTACAGTGCTGGGAGCTATTCCCCTCGTGGAGGTGGTTTTATTACAGTGCTGGGAGCTATTCCCCTCGTGGAGGTGGTTTTATTACAGTGCTGGGAGCTATTCCCCTCATGGAGGTGGTTTTATTACAGTGCTGGGAGAGCTCTCTCCTAGCACTGGAGTCGCGACTACACAGCCACGTTAAAGCGCTGCCGGCTGGGTAGACATATGCTTTTGTGGAAGACTTTCAGCTTCTTCATTTGTTGCTGTTCTTTCTGACCAACAATCCCCCATTTCCTCACTTTTACGTTTAAACATACCCTTTCGGGTCTGTTGAACGTGCATCTCCTTAGACAGCATTTTTTTTCACTTAGTTTCTACTGTAAATTGCACGCCTGACACGAGAGACTTGACCAATAAGAAGCAAGCAGTTACCCTGATGGCACTCAAAAGCTAACGTTTGGAATCACGTGAATATCTTCCCAGTGACAAGAAGTTACAACTGAAAACTGAAGGGGAACATTTTGTTTCTAGAGAATGTAAAATATATTTAATCCAAGTGATAAATCTGATTTTTTTGTTATTACTACAGTTAAACCTAGCCTATATTACCCAGTTGTACTGAATGCTTCAGCCACTTTCTTACCAGTACACTGTACCAGTTTACTTTCACCTCTGACTGGACAATGCAGAAAACATGTTTTTGGGGGAAATCTGGGACTGGGAGTGCACTGGAGTCACCCTGGAAGTAGTTATTAAGGCTGCTGGAAGCCAGAGTGTGACTGCATTGTCACTGACAGGCTACTGGGGTCAGAGCAGCTGGACCAGGGCTGTGGCTATACACAAACTCTCAGGGTGTGACCTGCATACTGTCTGGCTGACGTAGGTCAGGTTGGGAGCTACGTCAGCAAGGCATTGTGCGGCACTCCAGGTACTGACACAACCCCTCTCTGGTCTGGATTGCACCTCAGAGCGTGATAGTATCTTCACATACTTTTTGTCATAAGCTATTTGTAGAAAATGAAGAAATTGCCGATGGCAAGAATTCCACATTTATAAAAGATCCTGCTCTCTGATTCTTAACTAAAATAGTTATAAGAGAAAAGACAGTACCTGAACAAATCACACTGGCATCTTCACTGTGGCCACAGTTATGTATGCCCCACCCTCTCTGTTGACATTGCCAGACAAAGTATTCATTTCCACTGCACTGCCTTGACCAAATCGGGCACTTCCTGGTGCAGAAATGGCTGATCCACATCCAAGCTGCCTGCATACAACTTGAGCATCATTTATGTCCCATAAATCATCACAGACTGTCCCCCAAGTTCCATTGGCATAAATTTCAACACGGCCCTCACATCTGTTCTGGCCATTCACCAGTCTGAGATCAAAAACACCTTTGAAAGACAGAAAAACAACTCAATGAGCATTCACAAAGTTTCTCACGTTGGCAAGCTTTCATACATGTTACTGGAATCTGATTTTCCTACCACAGGGGATACCCTTAATTCCCATTGCAGTTACTGAAATATACTTGTGTTCTGCAGAGGAAGAACTAGGCTCCTTCTCTCCTGATAATTGAGAAAATATGACAGATTATATCTCTCTATCACAAACTTTATCATTGACAAAGTAATGTCTTGGAGAAATTAACTCTCCATTCTATGTCTCTCAAACAACAATGAGAACATTCCAATGGTACTGAGATTTGTTTTCATAAATATAAATTACCTTAAATTGGCCATTTTCATCTTCATCTTTTATGCATTTATTAATAATTCCCATGTTTCATCTTATAAAATACCCATTTCCCTGAATATTTAAAAATGTAAAAGGAAGAAAAATAAACTCAAAACCAAAAAAGGAGAAAGAAAGAAAGAAAGAAAGAAAGAAAGAAAGAAAGAAAGAAAGAAAGAAAGAAAGAAAGAATAAAAACAAGAGGAAAAGAAAACAAGGAAGTCTCTTGAATTGCATCTATGCATGCTTAATATCTTCAGCAATGTGTTTTGGGTAGTAATGTCCAAAACTGAAACAGCCTTGATTGTGGTGTATCGGTTGAGGCACCCTTAATTTAGCAGGCCTTCCCTCAGGCAGCTTTAACAGATCATACCAAACATTATGACCTTCTTCATTTATCAACACAATGAAAGGTTTAATAGGAAAGGCTCTAACATGCATGCAAGAACGTTTCAGTTTTAAATTAGAGATGGGCCCAAATCACAGTTTCAACTGGGATCCAAATGATCCCAGAGGCCAAATATATTTGGATACATGGTTTTGGTTCTGTTCCAGTTCTAATTTTAATACATTTTTAAAATTCTGGACAGATTTTCTTGAGAGAGCCAGAGTTATGGGAAAACACAAAATACAAAAAACCTACATGTACGAGTAACTTTATTCACACCACTAGTTCCATTGAAGTCAATGGGATATACATAAATTCAAATTATTTATGTGCAGAAGTATTTGTAGGATTATTTTTCCTTCTTCTGGGCCCAATTCTTAAACTCTTACTCATGTTGTGTAGGAACTTACCTCCTAAGAAGGTCCTCTAAAATCATTGGCTCTTTTTTTTCAGAGTATGGCAGTAAGGTTCTTCTCCATGTGAGTAAGGGTAGCAGAACTGGTCTTGACTAGGAAAATAGGTGTGTTCTTAATTTGAGTTCATTTGAGATGAAATTCAAATGAAGACAAGGCAGTTGGAAGTTTTCACATGAGTTAGCAGGTCAAGTTATAGACCATGGGGCAGCCTACGATTTAACTCAACCTGCTCACTCGTTTCCAAACATCAAACTAGGATTTTACGTTGGGTTGGCTAACACAGGTTAAGAACACTAGAAAAAAAGGTGTGAAGACACAAGAAATAAGACCTGCAAACCAAACCATGACTGAAATTTCCACCCCCAGCAAGATGTCAATAGGAATACAGAGAATTTTTAACCTCCCTTCCTCAGATAACTCAAAAATGGCTGCACATGTTTTACTCAAAACTTTCCACACAACACAATCACTTTGAGGCTTCAGACCAAGCATGGTCTGAAAAAAGAATTTGTTTGAGAAAATTATGAGCAATTGGAAAACAAGGGAGAGGAATGGGAGAGAAAAATCAATTTCCCCTTCAATATTTGCGTTAGCTCTAATTAAAACCTTACTAACAAATATGTCTGAAGAAATTTTCATTTTGTGAACAGGAAGCAAATTTAATATGTGTTAGTAACTATACTTCACACTTGCACCATGCTTTTCATTTTTAAATATCGGAGTGCTTTATGTAGAGATACAAAGAATTATATACTTATTTAAAAGAAGAGGAAGGAGAAAACAGTGTTAAGAAATATTATGGTTACTCCTTTAGTACCCAATCCTGTAAACATGCATGGAGGCTTTGAAGAACAGATTAGATGAACATGTCTCAGGGATGGTCTAGGTATACTTAATCTTGCCTTAGCACAGAGGGTATAGACTAGAGGGACTCTCAAGGTCCCCTCCAGCCCTACACTTCCAAGAATAACTCTCCTCTCCTGAATAGTTCCATTTAAATATGGCTATTTCAAATGAGTATTCATGTGGATTAATTATTATTGGGAGTTTTTTTTTATTGCTCTTGCACCTAGGACCCCCATTCATAGACCAGGACTCCTTTGTGCTAGGGGATGTTTAACATTTTAAATGACATCTCTCAGTACCATGAGAAGATGTTGGCTAAAATGTCTCCTTTTCTTTCGTGTGTCAGTTGGCTGCTGCAAGAAATTCATCCCAGGAATATATTTCTTTTGTTAAGAAGAGGCCTATTTCTAATTAGAGATGGGCAAAAGATTTCTGGAAAATAGTTTCTCAATTTACTTATTTTGCTAGAATAAAAATCAGCCTTCAAAAATCTGATCCAAGAGTAGTGCAGCTTTGTAGAAACTGTACTTTAGAAGCTTGTAATCTATTTTTTAATCAGGAGGGGGCAACTCCTAAAACTCCCCAACATACATCACCAACCCATCAGTTCACTCATTTTTTCCTTTCACTTGTCCCTGACCCTTTTGCTGGTATCTCTCACAGCCACTCCCCTCTGACCAGCGGGGTAGAATGCATTGTGCAGGAGGCTTTATCATCTCTCTTTACACCAACTGTGTGGTGCAACTTAGTTGTGCAGTGACTCCTGAACCTGGTACCCCAAGAGTAGTAATACTGTTATATATTTGATTGGCAAACATTGGAAAAGAGAAAGAGAAGGACGGGGCTAGTGATTTTTTTCTTTTTGGCATCATAATATTTTACCAAAAATATATAGAAAACAGTGTAATTGTAATTAACTTGGTGCCAAAGAGCAACGAGTAGGGTAGCAAAGACACAATGGGTTCCTGAAAGCAGTATAGCACACTTAAATCATTAACTTCTGGGTGAAGGAGAGGGGTGGAACCTTTGACCTCACTCCTATCCATGCACATTTTGACCAATATGATTCATAGAAAGTTTTCATTGCAATTGATGCATCTTTTGATCACAAGCATTTGAAGGTGCAGATCAAGTTACTTCTGTCATGAAAATTATAATAATAACACCACCAAGCTCTTCTATAGCCTTTTTCATCAATAGCGCTCAAAGCAAGTTACCTAAAAGGTAAGTAGTATTATCCTCAGTGTATAGATGGGGAAAATGAGAGACAGAGAGGGAAAGTAGTAATTTTTTTTAAAAAAAAATTGGTGAGCAAGAGAAAAGGCTGGATGGAGTTCAGTTAGTAAGCTCACTGGCCTCACAGCTTATTTTTTTTCTGGTACAGCTCCGCTCTGAAAAGTGATTCCACCCTGTTCTGTTTATTGTCTCATCAATTCCCATATCAAATGTACTCCAGTACCACCAGGCTGTAGAGCCCCGTTTCTGCAAACATACACACATGCTTAATTCTGATGACAGGAATAGTTTCATTGAGGCCATTGGGATTAGTCACGTCAGCCAAGTTAAGCACATACATATGTGTTTGCAGGATTGGGGCCCAAGTGCTTTAAAGTATAAATACCTACAAAAAGTATTGTAGTACTACTGTATCCCTATTTAGAAGTGCTAGCTGCCAAAAAAAAGAAAACGTTGATATTCAAAAAAATGTATGGCCGTCAGCCTGAAGACAGCCTGCAAAACATACAGAGGCTTATCACTGTGCCAAACTTATTTTCCTAACCAAGGAATCTGGTGTGATTTATATGGGAATTATTTGTGTTTTATAATGAGATAATTGAGAAGAATACAACATAGAAATAAAGAAGTAAAAGAATTATGAATTACCTGAAGGCCACCATGTTGGAGTAGTAGGAGGAGCTATTAATACAAAAGGAGAACAATACATAAATCGGCAACATCTTTAATAGTGAGAGAGAGACTTTTAGAGTAATGTGCCAAATTCTAGATAACGCCAAGAAAATGATAACCAAATTAACAGCATAACTGAATGGAGGAGAAGGGGCGGGGGAGAGAGAGGGACAAAGGATGAAAATTAGAATGTGGTAAGTAGGTGGATGGAGAGAGATGGCTGGTTGGCAAATCATGACACTAGAGAATACAAAGCAGGCACCCATCTTGCAAATAACACATAACTATATTTCTAGCCAATTGTATAATTCACAAAGCTGATAAAAAGCTAGCTGTCTGTATTTCCTCTGATTACTGTAATGAAGACACTTACTTAAAAGAAGAGAAAGGAGAAAACAGAGTTAAGAAATATCAATGTTAACCCTTTGGGATCCAATCCTGTAAACATGCATGCATGTGAATCCCCACCACTTGAGGTTTTGAACAAAGGATGTTCTTGGTATACTTAATCCTGGTCTTAGCACAGAAGGAAAAAACTAGATGGCTTCTCAAGGTCTCTTCCAGCCCTACATTTCCAAGAATAATTCTCCTCTACTAACTAGTCCTATATAAATCAATATGACTATTCAAATGAATATACATGTGGATTAATTATTATTGTTCTTATTTGTATTGCTGTAGAACCTAGAAGCCCCAGTCATAGACCAGATTCCATCTCTCAGTATCACGAGAAGACATTTGCTAAAATGTTTGATTTTCTTGCTTGTGTCATGTGGCTCTGGAAAGAAATTCATCGTAGGAATTTTGTTAGGAAGAGGAATATTTATAATTAGAGCTGGCCAAAAGGTTTTCAGCAAATAGATTATTATCATTATAAATGACTCTTTGAATTGCCACTATGAATGACAATGAATTCATTGGGAGAGGGGCAAAGTGTAAGAATGACTCTATAAGATGGCGGTTAGGACGTTCACTTAGGGCAGTGGCTCTCAACCTTTCCAGATGACTGTAGCCCTTTCCGGAGTCTGATTTGTCTTGCACATTGCCAAGTTACACCTCCCTTAAAAACTACTTTCCTACAAATAATGAGACATCAAAACAG